TCTAAGGAGTGGTGAGGGTCGCAGATGGAGGTTATGGATTAATGTGTGCCACAAACAAAAACAGAGAAAAAAAAAGTGGACCAAAAGAAAGCATAGTTGTTACTTTGTTAATCATATTTCATACTCTGCAGAATGATGTGTTTCGCTTTTGAGAGATAAAGAAGGGGTGGGGGATGGGGGTAGATGATGAGTGGGATAAATGGGTGGTTGTAGTCTTGTATTTAGTGGCGGTCCGCGGCGGCACTCTGTAGCAACTCTGTGGCGGGCTGTCCCGGGGGTCTGAAGGCGGTCTGGAAGCCTGGCGGGGGGGAGTGGAAGTGGCTGACGGGGTTGGCTGTGGCGGGGGGCATGTAGGGGCCCCAGCCGGCAGGGGCGGCTCTGTGGTGAAGGGGGAGGTGGCCGTCCAGGAGGGTGCTGTGGAGGGGCTGAGGGACGGGCGCCGCCACCGAGCTGGCCGGACCGTCCATCTCGGTGAGCGCCTGCAGGGACTTGAGCCAATGTGGGGGATTGTCATCCTGGAGACAGTCTAAACTGGTGCCTGCCGAGGCCGGGATGCCTGCGCATTACAGCAGCACAAAATACAAAATATCAACTGGCGATGCAAAGAAGGAACGGGCAAAACCGCTCCAAAGACGGCGGCATATTCAAAAAGACTTGAGGCTAGAATTACTGGCAAAGGTGCATTCACAAAGCAGTGAGCAAATGCTGTGGATTACTTGTGTACAAGGGATGTCCTCATTTTTTTCCATTGATCTTAATACATTTACAAAAATGTAAAATAAAATTTGGGGCATCGTGCGTTGAATGTGGAGTTGTGGAACAAGTGAATCACTGTGAAGACTTTCCAGATGTATCGTACCGGTGAGAAAAGTGCTTTTGAATCATGTAGCTTGGATCTTGTTCGCTGTGTCCAACGCACCTGTGATGATCGCAGGGTCCATCCAGCTGGCCGTGCTGTCCCAGCTCAGACTGTGTGAAATGCCCGCCGGCCCACCGATGTGGTTAACACTGTTTGAGGACGAGGAGGACGAGGAGGACGAGGAATTGGGAAGGCCCCCGAAGTTGATGTTGATGTTGGGCAGGAGAGCTCTGAGGCCATCTTGCCACTCTTTCACCTTTAGGCCTTCTATAGAGCCGCTGTTTTCTGCAAGAGGGCAAAACCACGTGCTGCGGGTTACTCAAAACTTATATTATGAATCGAACAATTCAAGAATTATCGGGATTTTATTCCACCAAATTCTGGAATTGGACTAAAAAAAAAAATCTCAGGCCACGGTTCACTATATTGACAAAGAAAGACCAAAATATGGCCGAGGAACACTGTACAAGGTTACATCAGGGATGTCCAAATATTTTCTTCCAAGGATTTAGAAAATGTTATTTTGAAATGCAAGGGCCAGTGAGTGACATGGTTGACCTTTAAATCATTTCCTGTAACATTCTAAAACCGATATATCAGTGTCGTGTCAGAAATTATGCATTGCATTTTATAGATGTCAGAAGTATGAAAAGAAACAAACCCACAAAAAAAGGAAACAAGCAATAAGTCAAGAATATTTCAGTATTTTGGTTCGGGATACTATTGGCACATATTGGTTGCAGGGTTCCCACTCTTCCACTTGCTTTTTATTTATGGACCTTTGGCTAATTTAGCCATTTTTTAAAGGACTTTTTCTCCATTCAGCAGGCGATTCACGGTGGATTTAATGCCCGCTCAGCAATATGCGGGCTGAACAGAAAGCCACATTTCGGTGAGCTGGTGTTCAAATCCTTGCTGCCAAAGGAAGGGCACGTCTCTATTTTTAGGGGCAATCAGCTAACCCTTTATTTGACATACTGTATGTCAAATTTTCATTTTCCTACCAAACTTGAATTCATTCTCAAATAAAGTACACTAAGAAAAATTTAAATTGAGAAAATATAAAACTTCTGTTTATTTTTGAATAAAAATACTTTTTTTTTAGGATTTTTATTGCTTTTAGAAGCTTTCAGAAAATTAAGGACAATTAAGAACATAATTTTACAACTTCTTTTGTTATGGATTTTTAGGAATTTTAAGGACCTGTGGGAACCAGGGTTGGGCCATAGTGGGTATTACGATTGTTGTTTTTATATAACGTGAATATTATAGCATTCCATTTTCCTTTTTACAAAATATATTTTTTTAGGAGGTGGTGGTGGTGGGTGGGGGGGTGAGTCTAGAACAGATTAAAGACACTTGAGTTTGGAAAGCTATTTGAGAAAAGAGTGTTTTGAGTTACAAGCATGGTCATAGAATAAATGAAATTGGCACTACTGTTGCGGTTGTCTTCATAGTAGTAGTAGTTGTGGCAGTGGTCATAGTAGTAGTAGTATTCAGGGCCATTGCACCCAAACAGCAAAATTCAGTGTCAATTTGGTTCAGTTTAGCTGATGCACGAGGCCACTACATTTTTTTTAACTCATTCAGTACCAGCCAATTCTGAACCAAGTCTGAAAAGACGTTTAAAAACGTCTTTGGGAGCGAATAAGTTAAATGGACGCTGGGCCACAAATGGCCCCCGGACCGCAGTTTGGAGAACCACGGGCGAAGTGGTCGGAGAACATGCAGACAGTACCTGAGATGGGGATCCCTCCCAGACCTGTGCTGTGCTGAGGAGGCAGATTCAGGTCCAGGAAATTACTGTGTGAGGCAGCGCTGGCTGAGTGGTTCAAGTGTGTGAGGTTATTCCGCGAGGGGATGCCCATCCAGGGGTGTCTGGCTTGCTGCTGCTGCTGCTGTTGACTGGCCTGGCCGCTCTGCGTGCCAGGGAAACTGCACGAGCTGTAGATGGCTCTGTGATGGAGCTGCGGGATGCGAGGCATGCCAGCGGGGAAATGATGAGAGTTGCCGGCGTTGCCGTTTGGGGGCGGCAGGCCGGGCCCATGATTGTTTCCCTGGGCGCGAGGCCCCGGGGAGGCGGGGCTCTGGTCCTGCACGGACAGCTCCTTCTCGATCAGGTCGGCCAGGGCTTTGCGGGTGACGTCGAACGGGTCGAAGCCCAGGTCGTCGTCCTGCTGTTTGCTGGATGAGCCAAAGCCGAAGGCCGCCTGCCAGTCCGTGGAAGACGACACCGGTATCGTGTCTGCCGCGAGAGCAAACGTGGACGTTACTGGAGGAGCGACTTCAGTAGCAAAACAAAGAAGAAAAACAAACATAATGGAATTATCCAAAGTTGATATGCTTTACTTTGGATCAAATTCAACAACTGACATCAGTTTTCAAGCTTTGACAACGTAAATTCCAGCACACACACACGCACACGCACACACACACGTTTACTTACAAGCAAACTATTTTTGATTTGCTTGTGAAAGAAATGGCACTTCATTGCCCTTTATTCTGACGCTCATTCACTTTTCAGACCCTGAGAAAACAACTTGAGCCTTCAAGCGCTGTAAGAATGCCAAGCATTTCATGTGCACAAGTTCACCATCGCTGGGACGTGGACACGCATGTGTTGCAATAAAACTAATCTGTGTTCAAATGTGCAGAGCGTTTGTTCTCAGTTTACTGTCAGTTACTGACTTGCTCAATTTGGTAGCAGGGCGACAGACTGGAGAGTGAGTCTGGCAACCAAGATCCCCAAGGAGACCATGCACTCAATTCTGGCACCCGCTGGGGATCCAGTTCGATGATTATTTTTATTTTGAATTCACTATGAATTCAACTCCAAGTCTTAAAAATACAAACAGCTGAAGGCAACATTTTTGCCCCATGTATGCTCATGCAGGATAAATAAGTTCAGATCAGCGTAATTCAGGTTTTTGCTATTTGTCCCAATGATGACAGATTCCGTAGGTCCTTATTTCCCAAGTATACAAATCAGTCAGGAGCGCTTAAATTAGAAAAGCCACACAGCTGCGCAATATTTTTGGCTGCGTGTGTACATATGTACACGCACACGCACACACACGCGCACACACACACACACACACACCCACACACACACACACACACACACACACACACACACACACACACACACACACACAGAAAGAAAAAAGTCAAGAATAATGGTTCATTCACCTATTATTTAAGTTATTGTCATGAAGGTTTTGGTATCTCTTATTTACTACATATGAGAATTTAAAATGTTGGTAGACATTTTAGAAAGGATCATGGAAGTGGACATGTTTGAGCTGCTTTCATGGGTTTCAAAAAAATTATGTGGCGGGCCAGATCCGGCACCTGGGCCTTAGCTTTGACACCAGTGCCAGAGGAAAAGGTTGAGTTACCTGATGTGAAGAGGCTGTGTGGTTCCGGAGTCATGGGCCAGTCAGCGCTGCGGGGGTTGCTCGGAAATGGAGGCAGACCGGTGGGGAGGGGGTTGGGGTGTCTGAAATTGCTGTTGTCCGAGAAGAGCGATTGCGACTCCGCCGCCGCGCCCTCGAAAGGCGAGCGGGCCGTGAGGTCAGACACGCTGATGGGCACCACCAGGCTGGGCTTGGTTAAACCCGGGGGAGGGGACGGGGAGTCACTTGTGGGTATCTGGAGAAAGGAAAGAGACAATGTGCTTGTTTACTTGTCCGACTTGTTCATGTGGAGGTAAAAAGCGGCCTCTGAAGTGGTTCTACCTGTTGTAAAGTATCACCGTTCACCATGCCGATCGACTCGGAAGGCTTGTCGCTGGGGCTGCAGGCGCAATATTTCGTGTATTAATAATAGAAAACCAAACAGCTTTATGTGTAATAAGTCTAGCTCGGTAGTGTAGCCTGTCCTACCTGCTGCTGTCACAGTTGGAGGAGAAGGGGGACATGGCAGTGCACTGGCCGGGACCGAGGTCTGCATCGAGACCATCTGAGGCGAGACCCTCTTGGTCTAGATAGTCTAGCAGCGGAGGGGACTTGCGGTCCTCTGAAAGGCCATTGGCTAATTTGCTATGACCTGACAACGTGGGCCACCCATCTTTGCCATTGCTACTGTTTTGTCTGCCGCAAAAAGAAAAAAAAAAAAAATAGGAGGAAGGGGGGAAAAAAAAGTGAGGCGTGGCTACAAAAGTAGAAAGCAGAAGATTTCAAGAATTCAAGAAAATGCAGACCTTTGTGTTAAGCCCGATTTACTCTTTGACTTTTCCGTTCCGCACGCTGGAGGTTGTAGAAAGCTAGGGTTGATTTTGTACAGGTCTTGGAGGAGTTTTTGCTCATATTCTTGATGTTTCCCTGCCTGGAAAGGGGAAGTGAAAAGGAGTCAATAAAGTCAATGCAAATCAATAACCAAAGCAGGGAGATCCCACGCGCTCAACAATGACATTACCTGCATTTCGTCTTTCGTAAAGCTAGCCGCTTCATCTCCTAGCTCATGTAGATACATACAATCAGGTTTAGGACACTGCATACTTTTGAGGAAGTAACTGCAGTACTTTGTCGTGCCTAAAGAAGCCTGGGAGAGGAAGATGAGAACGAGAATAACAAACCGCAAACTAAATCGGCTTCGTTCCCAAGGGCCAAACGGAGAATCGGCACAAAAAAAAAAGTCACCTTGAGCGTTCGGCCATCAACCACCACGTTGTTCACACACTGTATAGCTCTTAGAGCGTCTTCGGGGCGGACGTAGGTGACGTACGCGCTGGCGCTCGGTCCCTGGACCATCAGAAGTGAGAAGAGGAGACAAATCAGACAGACAGCTGCTGCAATAATTTAGTTTTTGCGGTAGTGTTGTGATTCAAAAGGGAAATGGAAGGTCATCGGCCCTCCTCTAAAATGTGTCCCACTTTTGTAAACTTGCTCCTTTTCATTCAGTGTCCAAACCCAAGCAAAACCGAATTGAGTCACAACAAATCAAGTGATAATCACTCTTCTCCTTTTAATGTTTGCAAGAAAATAGAGAGAAGAGGAAGACTGAAAGCGGTGGACTAATGAGGGGAAATGACGCTAACAGACAACAAGCGGGGCACAAGCAGAGCCCTCTTTGGATAAATTAAGTCAAGTGATACCTCAACTTGCAGTTTTTCCTGGGATGGAGTATCTTAAGTTGCAAGCAGAAATTTGAGTAGCAAGTTGCAGATGCCATTAGCAGTGAAGTTTAAATACAAAAACAGAATGAAAACACAATGTATTTGTTTGAGAATTTTGGTTGGCATCTTATTGGCATTTCAATAAGATGATTTAAGATACAAGAGTCATGAACATGGTCACGGAACATATTCATTTTATAAGTCAAGGCACCACTCTATGCACCAATCAAACCATCCGTCCAAATGGACATTCTAGCTTTATAACAGACGATTTTTCAGGGAACATTTTCAACAAATGATCCCCCCCTCCCCATACACAGTGAAATTTTAAAATGCTTGTATCTCCCAACACAACAGCTGCATGCATGGAAAACCCAAGACAAGTTGGCCTCCGTTTACACACTAGTAGTCGTCAGCAAACATTTACAGTCAATCCTTTTTTTTTTTCCATTAGCTAACTGGATCTGATTGACGTCAAGCAGCTCTCTCGCCACAACCAAACACGCCTCATTTTATTTGAAACCAAATCAAGATCATTGTCATTTTTGATCCACACCCAGAGTTTTATTACTATGTTCCCACATGACCATATTAACCACACCAAGGCAGAAAAGGAACTCCAGTTTGATTGAAAGTGAGCAGAAATGCGAATCCCTAACTAAAAAAAAAAAAAAAAACCCTGTACAAAATTGTATAATGATGCAAACCGGTGGAACAAAAGTCAGCGAAAGCAGCACTGACAGCGTTTAGGTCAGGCAACTTTTATTTAACTGTCGCGCAGAAATCAACAAAAGTAAATTGGTACAATGTCTGTGAACTCACCTGTGACCCGGCATAAGATGTACTATTGTTAATGACCACTTTATGGATCTTCCCAAACCTCCCAAAATACTCGGGTCGTTTTAGGACCTGCGGGTGCAACAAAAACACTTTTCAAGCACAATTATTTAACGAGAATACAATTTCATCAAGCGCGGCAGTGTCACATTCATCGTAAGCTCGTCCCCACGGCTCGCCGCGCTCACCTCCGGGTCGGCGAGTCGCTGCGAGAGTCCCACCACGAAAACCAGGTTTCTCTGGACCACTCGGACGCTGGCCAAGTGCTTGCGGTTCTCCGTCACCTTCTGCTTCTTCTCGTTCTGTTTCTGCTTCTTTTCGTTCTTTATCCTCTGGATTTCCTCCTGTGACAGAGGCTTGTACACAGCGGGGTCCTCTGGGTATGGCTGCGCAAAAAGACAGCAAACGTCACAAATGGAGTCCGGCGTCACGACACAGCCGAGTTTTCGGTTGATGTTGAGAACGCGCTGCACTAATGCAGGACTAAAGCCACGATTACAGTAAATATTTGCATCAAAGGCGTAGACCATAAACATCACAATTAAAGCAATCAAATAACCAACAGAAAGCATGCGAGTAGTAACGTTCATTCATTACATGCCGTTCGTAACCTCAAAAACGCGTGTGTCAGCACCGAGTCAACCGAAGTCCACTGTTATTTGTTTACATATTGACTAAGTCTTGAGCATGTTCGACATACAGTGAAACCTCAACAATTGTACATGACGTGACATTTTCGGGGGAGGAAAAAAAAAACCTCTCAAGCACGTGACATGGGTGTTGGATATAGTGAGCGACATTTAAGAAGTGCCTAAAGAAATGACATTTTTATAATCGAATGAAAGAAATACATGTTTTTTTTTTGCATGTGGAAAAATAAGGAAGCTCAATGTATTCCTAATTAATTTTGAATGCCCTGAGATAGTGCTCACCGACTGGATTTAGGGTTGCATCGGACTTGTAAAATTCGAATAAAATCATACAATTCCATATGAAATTTATTGCATGTTTGTGATACGCATATTACTGCAATAATCATTTTTCTTTTCAATATATTGTGCAGTCGTACTATATGGAAACAACTTCTCGCACTCCCTTCTGGGACTTCTTTTCCGAAAAGCACAGAGCAACAAATGAAGTTACTTTAAAAAATTTGTTTCGAAACTTTTTGCAATTGACTCGACCGCATGAAACCAAATGAATTGAAGTAAACTACAGAGGACAACAAATGAATACAAGTAAACTACATAGGATAATAAATAAAAACATTTTGTTCTCTCATTATGTTTGTTCATAAAATTCAGATGCTAAAAAGAAGTATCGATATTCACACATTTCAAATCATTATTTGAGGAACTGGCTGGTCAATTTGAGTAATGCCACTGTGTGTAATCTGTGTAATAGTGTACGTCATGGCAATGACATCATTGTGCAATGGCAACATCACTTTGCAACTTTCAGACAAAGACCAAAATGTAGCAACGTCCCGTGAAAATTAGTTGGCATCACTGCGTCAGACCTTAGCAAACCTTGCGAGATCTCAGGTGTGTAAACATCGAAAGCGAGGATGGGGTCTCGAGCGCCAAAAAAAAAAAAAGGAAATGAATATGACGCTGGCATGACCTGTCGGCTCGACAATGAGGCGAGGTCGAACCAGTGGAGGCTGCACGGTGACAAAGTCATTAGCGTCTTATTCATTATTATTATTTAAGTTTTTGTACAAATTCTTCAGTTAAAATGCTCAAAACGGCTTGCTCTCTTTGATTATGCAACATTAATGGTTGAACAAATATGCCGTCCTGAGAAGTGCTGAGGTTGGAGGTACCAGGATTCCGCCCGAGGCCGGCAACTTATTAAATAAAGAATGCAAATACGCAGGCTTCTTCAAAGTAGCTTGTAAGATGAGCCGGGCACACCGGTATAATTTATACAAGTGAATTTCATAATTAATCAAATTTCCAGGTTTATGAATGGTGGGTGGGTCATTAAATCTGGACGGCAGAATCGCGGCACTTTGAAAGTGCGCAAGCCCGGCCCAAAAAAAAAAAAAAAAAAAAAAATTGGCTTAAGTGCGAATAAAAGAATATGTCCCTGTATGCTCAGGAGTCAAATGTTGGAAGCCTTTCCATGCCGAGACTTCCATTTACATTATAACGGTTTTAATATTCAGAGCAGTTCACTTATTATTTTATGCGTGTATGACAATGGAGAACGTTACAATGATTACTTGTATATAATATTGCGAAGGGGATGCAAAATGTCCATTGGAAGTGAGCTGGAGAGTTTTTGAAAGAATAAACAATTGTTTTCCCATGCAAAATGAGACAACTAAAAAGCATGGCATTTCAACAGATTCAATTCTAAGTACTTTTAAAAGTTTTTAACATTACATTAAGATAAGATAACCTTTATTTGTCCCACACTGGGTAAATTTACAAACATTAACATTACAAACAAAAATTAATCAATTCCATCATTTCAGCACAAATAACAGTCCCTCCCTTTCCTATTTAAATATTTCCAAAACTACCCACATGGTCCAATTAGAGGTGTTCAATGAAAACAGCCTCTTGCCTCCCACCCGCCCTCAAAACGTCTTTCCTTCAATCGTCCCAGGCCTTCCCTGCGCACTTTTGCTCAACCTTTTCAGGCAATGCGCTTTTCATATTCAATTGTGCATGCATGAAATCTGGTCATTTAAATCAGGATTATGCAAAATATATGTAAATTCCCTTTTTAGGGTCAACCTTCAATTTATTAAATTCCTGAATTTATTCTGACTAATTCCCATGGAATATTTCCAACTTCACAGTGACCCCGCTACGTCCTCCAGGTAAGTCTTCCTCACCTTTCTGCAGGCCGGGCAAAGGCCATTCTCGTCTGTGCGGATGCGATGCCAACAGAAGCGGCAGATCTGGTAGCCGCAGGTGCAGGGGAAGAAGTTAACGTCGTCGATCTCCAGCGGCTCCATGCACAGGGGGCACTCCATGGGGTCGTCCTTCATTTCAGGGCTATGGGACATCCTACGGCGCGGCGAGGCTGAGCGTTGAAGCGGACACGGAGCACAGAGCTGGGAGAAATCAGAAATAAGTGCGACAAACATTGTAGGTCAAGCCATAGCATGTAGTGAAGTCGAATACCAATCCTTGAAACTTTAACTAACGCGCCTCCTAAATGCATGCTTGGTTACAAGATTAAATTCAATAGCTTTCTATTCCACTGCAGGTGTTGCATGACTGTTTTGACATTCACGAGCTTGAGCTGCAAAGCCATCGGGCGCATCGTTGTGGTTGCGAATCGGTGGAATCCAGGACACTGGAAAGTGGTGAAATAAGGGTTCCGAGGCATAAATAGGCAGTCATAGACAGCTGCAGGGGTCACCCAAGATCACACAACCAAAAAAAATAATAAAATCTAAATTAAAATTGCCAATCTTTGGGAAGTCATCATCACCCGCCCAGTCAACTCTTCCATTTTCTATCATGCTTGTACTCAGTGAGTTTCAGGTGAGCTGGGGCAGGGTTATGAACTCCCAACCTCAGAACTGTGAGGCAAATGTGACACTACTCGTTGACCATGTTGCCTCAAGTCACTTCCATCCACTGTGAGAAACGAGGTTGACCCTGATCTGGTCGCAAGCCTTTTGAAGAACACTTTTTGCAAACAACCTGCTTATTCATGCCTATGGACAATTTACAGTCTCCAGTGAACCTAATATGCATGTTTTGGGAATCTGGGAGGATGCGGGGAGAATTTGTAAATTTCTCACATGAACCCAGAGCAAAGTTTCGAACCTAGAATCTCAGAAATGTAAGAAGAGTCCTGCAATTTAGAGAACACTTCACACTAAATGAAGAACAAGCGGATCAACTCATCTATGTTTTGACTGAAACCCCAACATGTATTCCAACCGGTTAGCACAAAAAAATAAAATAAGATCAGCATGAATGTGATACATATGTACACTGATCCAGTGCTACTTCACGCCTCGTACTCATCGGCAGTGATTGTGTATAAATAACGTGTTGTTAGCAGTCATGCTCTACTTAGTATGTGACAACACGGGCTGCCAGAACTTGGGAGTCCGATCCAGATTTCTGGAGCCAACATGAAAGAACGAATTGGAGGAAAATAAACAGCAGCATCTCAAATGCTGCGTGTGCTGTTGGCAATGCAGCTGACAGGTCATTGTCTACCCGCCGTACCGTACAATCAAAAATGTGTCCGGTTTTCGGAGTCGTACCTTTTGACAGATGTTATTTGACCACCGCGAAGGAGAAGCTAACATTAGCCGCGATCGCATAAAGGGAATCTGCTTTTTATATAAGAAGGCAAGGAGAGAGGGGGGAAAAGGCGTCCACAGGGTGGCTGACGGATGTTCTTAACATTAAGATTTGTTCATGTCCAAGCCGAGTTTCAACACGACACTGATATGAACTACTTTAAAAAACGGTTGACAGTGACACGACGTGACGTTTTCCCCCCGTACATACTGACAGCTCGCTGGTAGATAAACGCCTAGCATCGGTTAGCCTCGAATGCTAACAGCGGAGGCTTACGGACGCGGCCTACGAATGCTAACGGGGAGCAGGGCGCAACTTGGTCGCGATTAAAGCGTCTGACAGCGCTCTCACCGGCTCGGGGACACTGTAGCGGGGGTCGACCGGACTCGAGGACAGTCGACAGCCGCTCGGCGAGTCAACAAACGGGCGACTTCGGCGATTTGGAAGGATCGTGAAGGCGAGTTAGCCCGTCTTAGCAAGTTGTCTTACGTTAGCGTTACTTACCCTGTCCGTATTTAGCTTAGGATTCCACTCCAAGAGTCACACCGAATTGGGCGGGGACTGCGAGCCAATGTGTGTGAAATGTCAAAATATCTCGAAGCGTTCCCTTGGGATAGCCGTGGACGTGTTGTTCTGTTTTAATTAAAAAGCTAGCAAGGTCTTTTTTTTTCTTGCCGCTGTCTTTTCTTAGTATTGAGGAGACAATTTACGCTCAAACCACCATCTTAGCTAGCATTAAAATAGGGAGGAGGGAGTGGAGTAGTGCTCGACGCCACGGAGTCTGCGCAGAGGCAGCGATGCATTGTGGGAGATGGAGTTTAGGAACATTTGAATCAGCCTTGCCCATGGGCAGTCCATATCCGTGTGCTGCAAAGATTTTAAATCTTGAACTCAGACTAAAATATTTCTTTGTAGCTTTTAGTCATTTTATTTACATTTTTAAGCTTTGTTTATTCAGGTGAAGCAATTGCGAACGGATTCTCATTTGTAATGTCAACCTGGCTACAAGAAGCTGATGATCAAAAGTGTGACTTACCGGCCTAAAACTGACAGGAGTGTTGTAGAAGTGAGTGTAAACACTGGCAGACATACATAAACAAAGACAGTGTCTTCACACTAATGAAGATGATTAATTTTAATTTTTAATATTAACACAATAATAGCAAGTACATTTGAGCAAATTCGTTATTAGCCTTCACATTAATCAGAACCTAAGAAGTACAGTAACCCTCAGTTCCAAAAAGGCTGGTGACCTTTGGATTAAAGAAAGCAGGACATACTCTGCGCCCCACGTTGTTAAACTGTCAACATATTTAAATGCTTGGTATTATTACAATACATAATTAATTTTACATGCCCAATATTGTTATGCATTCATACAGTATGTCACAAAATTGATTACACCTGTCAGAGTTTTGTAAACATTTTATTATACATTTTCATAGGACAACACGAAAAAAATTAACCTTTACAATGTACAGCTTGTCAAACTGTGTAAATTGACAAATTGAACCAACTCCAAATGCAGTCAGTCTATCCACATGAAAGTCGGTTTGGGCCAGCGGTGATTTTCGACGCGGCCGGGCTCTACCAAGTGTGTCGTCAGGACCGGGGCAATAGGATGCGGTGATGCAAGGGACAGGCGTGCGGCCAGGAGACCCATCCGAACACATGTGTCCGTGTCTCGTCCCTGGACGATCCCGGCCATCAAGGCGCCTGCAAGACTGCCCGCAAGACAATGATCACTTGTCTTTTGTGTTAAGATTTGTTTTAATATCAGAAAACCAAGTGTTTTCTACCTATCCCCTGCTCCTGAGACGTTCATTGTCTCATGTGCCGCTACACTCAGTGCTGGGTAGTGGACAGCGCACAGCTTCCTCGTCTGCAAATACAGACAGTCACAGTAAGATATTTATTATCTTTGATCCATCCATACGTTGGTGGGTTGTGTCCTGTGCCCGCACGTTGGTGGTTTTTGTGTGCATATGTTTCACATTTTGAATGGATCGATTAACTTCTCTAGTTTTGTGAATTGAATCAGTCAACTTCTTGCCTTCCTCTGTTTCCTTGGCTTCAAGTTGACGGAGCCCACGTGGTGTTCACCGCATACCAACACTCCATTCTTGCCCAGGGTCACCACCAGGCAGTGGAGATGCTCCAGAAGGGGGCGTGAGAGGGCCACGGCCAGACTCAGCACCTGCTCCAGGGAGTTTGGGAGCACTGACAGCCACCCCCACCAAATCACATGCTCACTTGGACATGAACGCAAACAAAACCTTCAGATTTTTACCTTCAGGTGTTTGGAGGCCAAGTGTTTTGTTCATGGTGCACAATTCCGCCAGGTTGGGTGACGCGTAGGACAGCGACTTCCAGGCGTCCGACAGGAAGGGCTTACAAGCTTTTTCTGAATCCGTCGGCTCGTACCAGACTGCACATTGAGGTTACACCTCATTCATTAAAAGCTGTAAGTTCCATTTTAGGGACTTTTTTTAATATCAAATCTACCGTTGATGTTGTGATGTTTGGCGACGGAGCAAACATATCTGATGGTGGATGCCGGGATGTTGCCATCAAGACACACCAGAGAAGACGACAAAAGCTGGTTTTCAAACTGTGACACCTATAGGAAGATCATATAGATGACAATACATTCATTTCAGAGTACAATCAGAAGAACTTACACATTGTTCTGTTATCTGCTGATGAATGTCCATGTCGCCCAGTCCCAGACTGAGTTCACCATTTTCAGTGATAACGGCACAGTAAGTAGCTGTGCTTTGACCTTCCAACCTCATCACGTTGCTGGTGTCCTGAGGGCAAGAGCACACATGGAAACATCATGTACCGACCCCAAACTCGTAGTATAACTTGAACAATCATCTGGTGACTAAGTTTGAAAAGGGTGGGACATTTTCCATGAAATGATTGGAAAGTTTCCAGTGAATTTCCATGAGAATTAAAAATTTGGGGGAATAATTCAAATTGGAAACTTTCCTTGGGAATGAGTCCAATTTAATGGGAATATGTCATATTGATGCATTTATGTAAAATGTTTTGTTTTCGTCACAATCAGAAATCCGGGCAAAATAGATGGCTCTCCTTGCCCAAAATTCACAAAATTTTGCACCCCCACTGATGATAGCTACCATATGTTTGCAGTAGTTGAAGACGGCATCGCTGTGAGAATCAGCTCCAGTGGCTGAGATGAACATCGGTTGATGCCCCAGACGGCTCAAACAATCTTAAAAGAGAAGCACACTGCAAAAAATGAGCTCAATCAGATTCCGCAGGAAAAGACGATCAAAATAAAGATCACATCTACGCACCAGCGATGTTTCGTCCTACGCCCCCGTATGATTGACAAACACTCCCTGGGTTGGTCTGTCCAAACTCAAGAGTGACAACAAGAGTTAAAAAATTTTTTTGTTAATCCATCTATGCCAATGACGTTTAGTGACAGGCAAATCAATTCATTTGCTCTTCCATTAGATTTCAGAGAGGACACAATTGATAAGCGTATCCACTTTTTGTTATCTTTTTGGTTTGGTTGAATGGAGTGAGAGTTTTTTTTTTTTAATTCAAAATGTGTGCCTTCGCTCAATAAAGGTTGGGAAACTGCTGTCTGTGTGATACAGATGACAAACTTACTTGAAGTGTTTTTGTTTTTCCTTTTGCAATAAAATCCACATTTATTCCTCCGATGACAACCTGAAGCGAAACAGAATAGCATTGTTGCTGTGTACTGAGCTTTAGAGGGAAAATTAACTTTTGAACAGGCTTGTGTACAAATAGTTGGGTCACAGAAACGCTTGCACAATCATCACATTTGAATTTAAACAAGTGCACATCCTGAAAACGTGTCTGTGAGCAAGCCTAGCACGTATATCATAACACTGCGGCTAATTAAAATAATAACCGCTCCCTCATTGAGTTTCTCTGCCCCACGACATGTTAAGATAGGCTGGGTGAAGATCCAGAGCTGCTTTCAAGCAAAGACACTGTCAGCATTACCATTTAGAAACAGCGAGGTGTGATACTACCCCAACTATCTTATCAGAGCTAAAGGTAAGCAGAGCTGCAGTGACTCTCGTTGGATGCACATATTCGTGTTAGCAAAAAGCGTTAGCTTCTGCTAAGCGGGACTTACATAGTTACTTGATTACAGCGTATGAAGTGCCACCTCGATGGGTGAAAATTCTTTTACTGTTTGCTTTTTTCTTTGGTAACAGTTTTAAATAGTGGAAGGAAAAAAAACATCTGAATATGCTAACACTCACAATACTGGATGCAGATTGTTTAGCGGGATGATGTGATGTGCTACTTGACTTTCTTTTCTTCATCCGCTTTGACAGCGCGCAGGCGATCTGACTGCCAACTTTAGCATTGTTATGAATGAGAGCAATATCTACAAGCAAAATGAAGGAGTGGTAACATACCACATTGGTGGCTGCATTTCTACTGGAAGAGCTCAATTAGACATGAATTGTTCGAAGGATACTGGCGAGAAGGGACTCTCCTTGCGTCAGCTCGTTGACCCTTTGGAGAATGTACGGCGTCACGTCTCTTCCAGCGATGCCTTGAGAACTGAGTGACGAGAAAAATGGAGAGCAACTGTTGTGTAGAGATTGAGACTATGAAATCTGATCATGGAGGAAAGAGGTCAGCACTAGCCTTTTAAATACATTTCATATTCCACACACGCATGGCACAAGTTCATTCTGTGACCACGCTTAACTTTCCCCATTGAAATGAATGGAAATGACATTCATCCATTCCAACTTCCCCAAAAAAGACAACAGCAAAAATGTTTGTAGTGGTATTTTGCCGATTAAAAACAGAACTCTAGAACACTGAACTTTATAAAAACACCCAGTCATGACACAATTGAAAATGTGTTGACTGAAACAGGGCGGGAGGGTGACCGACTGGGTAGCACGTCCGCCTCACAGTGCAGAGGTGCAGGGTTCGATTCTGGCTTTTGCCTTCCTGTGTGGAGTTTGCATTTTCTCCCCATGCCTGCGTGGGTTTTCTCTGGGTACTCTACTGAATGGAACACTCGAAATTGTCCCGAGATGTGCATGCTTTGGCTGCCTGGGGGCAGTATAGTACAAATACACACGGTGACTATCACGAGGTACTCCTCACAAAGCCCCAGTAACATTCTTTGCAGAGGATAAAGAAGATATGCTTGTGAGTATAGTTATGCTATTTGTCTCAATCTGATAGATTTTATGTGTGCAAGGAAAATGAAGAGTATGTAAGCCCGATTTAACTTTTCATTCATATATTTTATTCATAAATGCAATGTTCCATACCTGGTCTCTGCCAAGGCTGTCTGTATTGCACGCTCTATCTGCTGGCCTGCCGCTGCATGCTCTTGCGGGATGGGCACAGCTATCAACACGCCACTGTGGACACCTAGCGACAAAGTGCTCTCTAATGGAGGCAAATTTGTGACCGTTAAGGCACTTCCAGAAACCGTTGCGTTTGACTCTTCAAAATGTTGATTTTACCGATAAGTTGCGCAGCGTTGTCAGGGTCACAGACTTGGTATGGGGAGGTGAATCCGCTTATTGGTGAGAAAAAGGCTGGGAAATCTTTTGACGTGCCATAGGTGGCGACGCAAACACCCTGGGTCTCCTGATTAGGGAAAATAAAAAGTGTTTGGATGACGGATCAATTCAAATCACCACTCTAGCTGTACTTCTATTACAGAGCGAGCGCCTTCACGAATAGGAACTACCGTACACAGTGACAATTCATTAGGAATCACGGGAATACACGTGCGACCGCGTTTCTTCTCAAAGCTCTTACTAGGAACTCCAGAGTGCGCCCGATGTCCAGAATAGATTTGACCCCCGCAGACACCACAGCGATGGGAGTCCTGCCCAGTTCTGTTAGATCAGCACTGATGTCCAGACCTGGACAAACATCGTACCCGGTAACGTGCAAACATGAGGGCAGTAACTCAATAGGGGATGAAAATACAAAATATGCAATAGGGGCAAATGAGACAAAAGATGGCGCTGTGATGAAAAACAAAAACCCACTTATTGTTATGGAGTATAAAGATCATATGCAAGCCTAATAATTCCATCCATCCATATTCTATAGGGTTTGTTCTTTCAGCTCGAGCCTTCCTGTGTGGAGTTTTCATGTTCTCCCAGTGCTTGTGTTGGTTTGCTGCTCATTCCACATTCCAAAAGCATGTCTGTTAAGTGTATTCAAGACTCTAAGGCGCTATCCATAGGTGTGAATGTGAGTGTGAATGCTTGTTTGCTCTTTGGCGCCCTGCGATTAGTAGGAGACAATCCCAAGTTAGCTGGGATAGACTCCAGTTTACCTCATGAAAATATGCACTATTAAAAAAAGAAATGATGGAAGATGCATGGACTTTTTAAGGATATTCGGACAGCCCGGATTTCCTTCAGATCACTTCTGCTTGCCTGGACAAAAGGCATCAACCTTTGCAAAGCACTCCATCATAAAAAAACTGTCCATCTTACTGTTCTCTCCATCTCTGTGCACTCCGCCGATGCCTCCAGTGACAAACACGGGGATGCCAGTTCGCTGTGCCGCGATCATGGTGGCCGATACCGTGGTCCCCCCAGAGAGCCCCTGAGGACGCATCATCATCATCAACATCATCACCATCACATCTAGTCAGTGGTGGGAGGTAGTGGAGTATAAAGATTTTCTTATTGTACTAAAGTAGTTTCTGATGACATTTTACTGATACTCGCTTCATTTGAAAACTGTTATTTTTACTCCATAAACTGGCAAAATTGCCCTATTACTTTGTTTTAACTCAATATAGTTGTTTATGTAACATGGGCTCATGATTGAGTGTATGCTCGAGACATGCTGTTGATGCTTTATGTGTGTGTTGTACTTGTGGCTTCTACATGCAAATACAACCCCCTTTTAAAATCGTTAGTTGAGCTGGATCAAATTATATTCCTTTTTTTTTCCCCATTGAGAACATAAAAAAAAGGTCCCTTTTTCAAAAACACCAATGCCTAAATTATTCTCCAAATCTGGAATCACCTTTTTTTTACCACCTCTGCATCTACTGAACACAAAACATCAAGCTCTATATTTCACGTTTGAGTGTCGCATCCTCACCTGGCTCACCACATACGGCAGATCACGACGAGACACCTTGACGGAGCCGTCACAGCGGGCCAGGAAGTCCAGCTCCTCCACAGACAAACCGACGCAAACTTTGCCTTCAATCACCCCGACAGTGGCGGGGGTGGCATCTTGGGCCCTCACGATGGCCTCCACCTCTCTGGCTGTGCTGCGTTGATCCACACACTCACCATCACGCTCATATGATATGATATGTTGTAACACGTGTTGCCATTCAAAGCACATACCTGAGATTGTGAGGATAGGGCATGCCGTGAGTGATGATAGTGCTCTCCAGCGCCACCACCGGGCGATTTTCTGCCAGCGCCTGCGATACCGATGGATGAACTTGAAAGGGGCTGTCTAAAAGAGTCATCATATATTACTGTACAGTCATCAGTCGTGGGACGTAACAAGCCGATTTTTGACAAACTAAGGAGTAGAGAGTCCAGAACTCTTTTTGCATACAAAGGGAGTAAATGTAAAAAGTCATGAGGAAAATACACTGAATATAGTTGAAAACAGCTTCCTGAAAAATCTACTCAAGTACAGTGCAAAATATTTGCAATTTATAAGGTAGCAAAAAAAAAAGTGGGCCTAAAAGTTATAAAAATATAAATGATAAATAAAATTTAAAAAAATATCGCATTTAACCAACTGAAAAATGAACAATCACTCAAGCGCTCCAATTGTTCCCCGTATTTAACAGCACTGAAATTACAGAGTACTATTTTGATGCAAAAATGGATACAAATACATAATTTGAGTAGAGGGGGGGAAAAAAAGGCCATTCTTACCATTTGGAAATGTCCAAAGTCCTCTTCGAATCATCACTGCGGAGACTCGCTTGAGCATTTTGTCTGTTTAATATGAGGAACACCTTGACAACATGTGAAGAACTTCATGACACTTTGCAACACGGTCCTCTAAATTCTTACCTTTCCTTTTGTGACAGTGCAGTTTAGGGATACGCTAGTCGAGCAAAATGCACTGCATCAGTCCAAAGTCATACAATGAAAAAAGCAGTTGCCGAAAAACTTGTTGCTTACCTTCTCCGCCGCAATTGGAATGCTGGAAACTTTGCCCAGGAGGTTGAACTTTAACCCCAGACAGTGTTTACACGGACCACATTGCATCAATAACAGAAAACCGCTGGTTAGCCAGGAAAAATAATTGAGGAGCGAATGTATGCTAAAAGTGACGACCGGTCTTTTTTTCTTCTTCTGTATTTGGGGTCATTATATTATCACTTCAGTGTCTGAAATCCAGTTGAACTCTCCCATGCATTAATGACAGTTGTCCACAAGTATGTTCTGAGGCATTTTATTTTACATCACTACAAACAAGGAGCTCTCAAACTTTTTTGGGTAGCAGGGATGTTTCGGAATCAAATCGAGTACTTTTTTTTTTTCAAGGACACCCTGAACATGAATTAAACAGAACTATCACACATACCCCTAAAATGTCAAAGGAATAAAAAAAGTTGCCTATGCTTGAGAAAAAAAAAGAGTTAGAATGTTACAGTAACATTTGTTTGGAGAAAAAAAAGGAGTCACATTGAGAAGAAAAAAAACAAGACAAAGACATATTTTGTCAGGAAGAAAAGTTGTAATCTTACAAGGATGAAGTTGTTACGAACTCATTCACTGCCATGAACGTTTAGATTTGCCAAATGGAATCCAAACATTGACTACCACTGACGTAGATATTTTTGTCCAGTATGGTTTTTTTGAGTGGGTTGGTGTGGAAGAGTGTCTCGGGCAGCTTGTCAGTGAAATCCGGGTTTGTAAACCACAGTAAAGATCACTTTAGATGGTGGAAATGGCAAGGGAAAATAATTCGCAGCTCATGACGTGAATGATGAACGGCATGTGAAAAAAGGAAGAGAGGTTGAATTTGAAACATGCGGTGAGTCAGTGTCGCTGCCGACGCGGTTTTATAGTTGTTCATCTGTAACGAATTATTTTACGATCAAAACGTCTTCTCAGTCGTCATTTATTTTGTTTTTTTTAGCTGTTGTTGTTTTATGGAGTCACCGTTCTGCTTGACACGCTCGACTGTATATTACTAAAGAATGCAAAGAGCTCAAAATCATTTTTTTTCCCAATTTCTGGCCAAAGAAGGGAGTCGACTCTTGCTTTTGGTGGGTTCAGTTCACTTCTATTGTTACGGAACACAAGATTTTGTGGGATCTTGAAAAGAGCTTTAAGAGGACGGCAAAAGAGGGAACTCTGTTTCGAAATCAGCTGCCAGGTAATGAGTTAATTGGCCAAAAGCTAATATAGAGAAAGGAGTAAAGTATCGTATGTTGTTGTTTAATTGTCTGTCAAGCATGCATAGGTAGAAAAGATCATCCTACATAATGGGACTTAGTCCTCAACTTCCAATTCTTCCACTAGTTCCTCATCAAACCACTGCGGGTGCTTCAGCTGGTACTCCCGGAAAGCCCCTAAGGCCTCCTGCAAGGCTCGACCTGAGGGGCAGTGGTGATACTCACCCTCTGCAAGTCCTTCAATGTGACAAACTCTACCCGGCCCGTGCTTTTCGGCGTCCAGGATTCTGAAGAAGAGCTCTTCGAACTGCTTCATGAGGTTGTATCGAACCGTGACGTGGAACGGCGAGGGGACGTCTTCCGGGGAACAAACGTCTTCAAAGTAAGCCACCATGTACTTCTCGAAGGAAGCGCGGCGCACCAGATGAGGGACGATGAGGCCGAGAGCCGGAGTGAGCATGTCGCCCACGGGCGAGTGCAGGTCTTCCCTCAGGAGAACCCGCTTCTCGCCGCACATGGCTCTCCATTTGGCTTGCACTCCTTGCGAGCACAAGAGGAGGATCTTATCTGAAGAGCCTTCGATTTGTTCTCTCTGCCAGTCCAGCCACTGGATGCGGCCCAGTATTCCCAGTCGGGTGGAATCCAGTAGATCCAGGATCACCTCGGTGCCGCATTTGGCCGTCAGGAAGGCGGAGAGCTTGAGGACGATGTTTTTGTATAAAGGGTGGTCAAGGGAGTAAAGGATGAAGACTTTTTTTCTTTCTCGCACCTGCAAACATTGCGGTTGTTGTTCGGCAGCTGATGACGCCATACCGACGATATCTGAGGAGAAGAAAATTGAAACCGCTGCAAAATTAGCAGGCCCTCTGATGTTGCTATTTCAAGGTTTTTAGTCTATAACCGGGATGTCACCAAATTTTCATCAATGTCAGTGGGGGGCCAACTTGGAACACACAATTGCTAATCAGATCTATGACAAAATTGCCATTTTAAATATGGGCAAAATACGCGCTTTGAATATATTTCATATTTCATAACAGCTCAAAGGGCTGTTTTGCATAACATTCACCATTCAAGGACAGCACCAAATTGCTGAACAGCAAACCAACTGCTAAGTGCAGGAACTCATTTTGTGCATTTTTAAAGAAATCAATTGGCTAAAAATTTTTATATTACTGAGTTTTTAAAAAAAAATTTTAATTAGTCAAATGGCGACTCAAGAGTACGGTCACATGTGGCCCACGGGCCACCAGTTTCTCATCCCTGGTCTATAACCTTGCAACAAGGTTGGCATCGACTATAATCAAATCCTGTTACCTTTGTAGGATGCAGCCCGCAGAAGATAGGCAAAACAAACACCAACAAAGACCACCCCCAATGCACCCTTAATCACTGCAGTCCGTGATGGCATATCTACCAAAAAAAACCCCCAAAAACAAAAGGGTTGTTATTTCTAAAATACAAGGACAAAAAACACGCCATTAACACCTATTAAGTCCCATCGCCAGGTATTGCATCTGAACTGGTTGTAAAATTGATTTAAACACTGCCATACTGCTCATTGAACGTGCAAAAAAAGAAAAAAAAAAGACATTTGTCAATATCTTCATTTTTGTGTACTTTGAGTCACTTCAGGAAAAGTCAACAAGTTTCAGGGTGTAAAGGTGTTTCTTTTGCTATCAAATGTCAACCCAAAGTGTGTAACGTGTTAAGGTGTCATGTGATGCACAATATAGGGACTGCTCGTTCATGCTAAAGAAATTGCAGTACTTACACAAACAGTAATCGATATACATTTGCTTGAGACGACAGCCGTTATTCACGCATCGTGTGAAAAATGGCTTAATCTCGGGGGGTAAAAAAAAAAAAAATGGAACATTAAGCTTTGATACACGAAAATGATAATTTTTTTCTTACAGGAAGTCTCAAAACAAAACTTACTGTGATCAGCAGTTTACATTTTAGTAGCTTGGACACGTCCAGGTCAAAGGTGACGATTAAAGATGTTCTGTTCTCCTGTTTGTGAGATTGAATAATTAAGATAAGATCAATTCTGTGTCATAATAATATGCCAGGCTACAATCAATGGCTCCTTCTCTGCACTTCTTTATCCAAAGCCATTCTATAGCTATGCTGCGCAAAGTATGTTTGACAAAAGTCAGTTTTCATTATTATATTGTGGTTACCTTGGAAACATTCTTTGAGGAATGGATGCCATCGCTCTGGATGGAGACTTGGTATAGGTCAGAATGCTTGTCAGCCTCAAAGCCCACAATAACCGACAGCATTTGATGCTTCCCCAATGAGAAAGCAGTTGCGACTTCAGTGTCCCAAAGGCTACCTTGAAGAATAATACATTTTCAAAATTGCAATTCCCGGGCACCCCTGTCTCTTACCGTATTTTAAAAACAATAAACAATTCACCATTTTCCAAACACATCTGGGAGTTTCGAATTATTTTGTCGTCACATCCTGTCCATGACAGCAAATATTACAACATGAAATATTTCAGAGTCAAATGTATGTGACACTCTCGTGGCGATACCTCACCTGGTATTGTCACTTGCTTTGTGATGGCGTTGTCGCCAACGTCAGGTTGCGGCAAATTAGACGCTGTCAGTGTGTACGTGTGGCCGGCCTCCACCGACACCCGAGATAACGAAAACGCCCACTAAGTAGGAAAACACGGTTACTTATTTGGCACAGCTCAAGTTGAACACGAAGCTCCTTACCTTGTTAAAATTGGGATTGAGCTGCTGGTTGACAACGAAAGTGAAGTGCACACACACACTTTGATTTGTATGTTGATCAACAATACGCAACTGTGACCCCTGGAGTGTCAGAACACTTGCTAGGAAGAAGGGAGGATGAATCTGAATTATTTTTTTTTTTTAAAGGACACGATAGTGCGTGTATACAAGAGGTGTCAAATGTTACTCACCATCTGATTTTAGCCTCCAGGTCACATTCATAATGGGAACAGACAGATGGTGGTCCTGACCAATTCCTACGTAGTCTGGACCCCACTCAGGTGCGGTGGGAGCAGTGTGACGGGGCACCACCTTGAATTTGTCCGTGCAGTTATCTGACATTAAAAAAAAATATGCGTGCCATGTTCACAAGAGTGACAGGAATCGGTATTTATATTTTGGACTAACTTAAACACTCACACTTAATTGTGCAGTTTTCGAGACCCTTTAAAACAGGAAAAGAAAACATCATGAGATTACCATGTGGCAAAAGAACTCACAATCTATTTAAGTAGAAATACTTGGGTTTGAAAAAAAAAACAAAAAAACTGTCCTGACCCCAAGTAAAAAAAAAAAAAAAAAAAGCAGACTCTAAAATGGTACAAAAGTAAAAAATATTTTCAGACTTGAGCATTGAATTATATTACACTTGTATGAGCCAAAGTGCGTTGGATTGTCAAAGCTATTTTTAAAAAAAAAGAAATAATTGAATCCTTACGGGCTGGTTACAGTCCGCTATCCAAAGGTAAGATGAGGCTGCAAAGCCAGTGGCCAAACACGAGCAGAAGAATGCCACATGGATCATTGTGGGGTTGCGGGAGCGAGAATAAATCAATGAAGTTGCCTGTGAGGGAAGATTTGGTGACACGACTTTCCATTTGTGTGATTTGCATTCAGGAAGAACGCTGTTATCAGGTGCCATCATCAAATGCAAACCCCGAGTTGACAGGAAATGTTGCTCAATGCTATTCATTTTGCAGTTTGAATTTTTCACATTTGCCTGTTTTTAAAATGATGAGGGGGGGAAAAAAACGCATCACATTCGCAGTGTCTCTGGCTCATAAATATCAAATAGGTTTGACATTCGATCTCCTCTGAGTGGGGGGGAAAAAAAATCACTTTACACAAGTCACGTAACAGCATAATTGCTGAAGATAATCTTTAGAGCGAATAAAACTCGGCCTTTGTAGAATTTGATCATAAATTGAGGAAAAGCCTGCGATTCAAAGACAGTATTTATCGCTACGTGTACACTTCCTTCAAAAACTAGAATGGCGCTCAGAGTGCCGGTTGACTTCATTCAAAAGGCCAAAACTTGTTTCAAACAATTTATTCTCCATAGAAAACGGCATGTGAATTAATTTGTTGCAGGCTAAAAACGTCCCCAAAATAACTTTTATTCACTGTGCAGACAACGTTTAACGTAACATTTCAATTTCCTTTGGAAGTTCCACTGTTAAACAGTTTAACAAGGTAGAAAAATAACATTTTTGTTATTCCAGACATTTAAAGGCAGACCAACTCCCTCAGAATCATTTTAACAGGTGAACTCAGTATGACCTTCTATAAACTTCTGAATGTGTGTGTCCATTTTTTTTCAGCGTTGCAGTCTTTTTTGCACAACTCCTCGTTCTCAAACTATCCCATTCATGGATTTAGTAACTGAAGAAAACACCAAAATGTATATGTTCAGGACTACTGATGGCTGGCTTGGTGAGTGACATGGGTGCCAGAGATGGAGCTTACGTAGGAGGATGTTGGGAGGTCCAGTTGTTGATTGAATGGCTCACCCTACGGCAGCCTGTGTGTTGAGTGCAAGTCGGTCGTGGTCGTAGCAGCTCGTGTGTGTGAATGCGCTTCATACTTGTTTATTGTGTGAGTTTGTGAAGGCAACTGAAACTGCACCGGTGGCGGCGTTTATTTTTGACCACATGTGGGGGCATTACAATATGGTCTGCCTAATAGCGGTGGTAACTTTAGACCTTCTCCCGCAGCCATCTTGCCAATATATTTCGACACAGAATGTTACATGAGTCTGCAGTCACATTTATACATGTGGAAAAATAGTAAGTGCAAAACGTTGGGGCAGAGATTTTGCTTTGAAGTCTTCAACTGATCATTTCAGCACTGAAACATTCATTCGAAAGTTGCGAGAAGGTCAAATTCAGTTCAGCTGTTAAGGTTATTTGAAGTTCATCCTGAAATGTGTGAGCAGGTGATGCTCAGATGATGACAGAATTCACATCAACACCAGTTTGAGAACTTGAATCAAATGTACTTCTCAGGCTGTGTCATCATTGATGTTGTTCTCACTTTCGATTGGTCTTCATCAAGCCGGTGAGACTCTTCCAGGTGTGTTTTCTCTCCGGTGTGTATCCTCATGTGTAACGCCAAGTAGCTCGCGCTTGACACTTTCTTTCCACAAAGGGTGCAAGAAAGGGCCTGTTCTGTGCTGTGCGTTTTCCTGTGCGCCACCAAACCGCGTTTCCCGGTGAATCCGGCGCCGCACACAGAGCAGGAGTAAACGTTCCCTTGGAGGTGAACGCGAGAGTGTTCCACTAGACTGGACCGGTGTCTGAATCGTTTCCCGCACACCGAGCACCAGTGAGGCTTCTCCCCCGTGTGTCGCCTCATGTGCAACACCAGACTGCTCTTTTTGGCAAACTTCCAACAGCAGAGCGTGCAGGCGAAAGGCTTCAATCCGGTGTGGCTGCGTGAGTGCATGACTAAATCCGAACGTTGCGTGAAATTCTTACCGCATATCGAGCACCTGTGAGGTCTCTCCCCAGTGTGGCTCATCGTGTGCCTTTTCAAGCTCGCCCTGGACATGTAAGTCTTGCCACAGTCGCCGCACTGAAACTTCTTCCTGTTACCCAGGGAGTCTGCGTTGCTGTCAAGACTCTCATCCAACGAGTCGGACGTCATGCGGTCAGCTGGTAAGTCCGAGGGGATGTGCGGTTTTGATGCTTCACTGTGGTCTTCAGCGGTTTCTGCAGTCAAGCTGCTAGTTAGGAGTGTCGGCTCTTTAGTGTCATGGCTTTGTCTGTAATGAAGGTGCGAGGACCTGACTTCATCCCCTGTCCTATTCCCATTTTCATCCTCCAGGTTGGACCAGTGTTCTTCCACTTTTATGTGGCAGGGCTCAAGTGTTTTCTGCTCCTCCGCATTGCCCTGCCACTCATGCTGCTCCGAGGCGAACTCTTCTTTCATGTCCGTCGGCTGCTGGACATCTACAGGAGAGAATACACAGAGACAAAAATATATTCAGTGACTGGGGTTGCAAAAAAATGGGGATGTTAAATTGTTTGCAGATGATTTATTAAAGTATACACACTGGAGGGGAGAGATAATGTTTTGGTATTGAATTCCCTGAACACACACTGTAAGTTGTAAACAATAGTATAATTGGCTTTCTGTTGATCACCGTATGGACATTATTTTAGAAAAAAAAATCCAGACATGAGGAAAAAGTAATATTTCCTATTTATCAATAAACTTTGTCCTAATTACTGTATGTCCTGAGTTTAAACTGATTAATCATAATAACAAAAAAGGAAACATTACAAAAACACTTAAAGGTCATGAAATTTAATTGGGATTTATGAATTTTATGATGCATCTACTTTAACTGATAAAAAGTATTGGTACAGGCAATACTGGCCCTGTATTTATTTGGTGGATGAACTCTGGACCTTGTAATTCCATAGATTTTTTTTGTCTCTTGTGATGAATTTTGTGTGATTGGTCATGTCTTGTGTTGCTGGGCCTCTCTGTCTGCAAATGAAGCTTTTGAAAATAAAATAACTAAAGTACAGGAATTTAATTGATTTATTTAAGTATCGGATCGATGCCAAAAATATGCAGTATCTCACACCACTAATGGGTGGATGTTAATCATCCACTGTTTTTACTTCATGTTTTTGTCATGCTTTCAGCATCGAGAAACTCGAGAAAAAAAAACACGTTGTGAGAGGAGAATAAATTGTACAATACGTACAAACCTTCCAATTGTAGTTGCACACTTGGCCTGAGAAATGCATCCAGCAGCTGTCGCTGTCGTTCGTTCTCCTCTTTGGAGCGACACAGTTCCTCCTCGTACTCCGTTATGGTCCTCTCGAAGAGCCCAAATATCTCGTCGGCGGCCTCGGTTAGTCGCCTCACCACCAAAGCCCTCAGCATTCGGACTTTACACATCTCAACGAGTGCACGGCTGTCTGGATGAATTGATCCAGGCTGCTTCCGCAGTCTTCTTGACAGAAGCTAGCAAGCTAAAGCTAATTTGAGAAGCTTTGACAAGTCGACGAAGGTTAAATTATCGTGACAGAAAGACTTTATAGTATTTCACTGCTAAGCGCCATAAACCGTGTTCATATGAAACTGAGAATAAAGGGTGCGATGACTTTAGAATCATGCCACTTCCTCCGCTTGGCAGTTTTATCAACTTCCGCCTTTTCTTCTTCGGTGGTCTCGAATGTAGCTGGGAAAACCATGACGTGTCTATACTGCCACCATTAGGAGTCACTTGGTTCCAACAATCAGAGAATCTCTCCAAAAGTAGAAGAATAACGCGGGATTTTTTTTTTTCTGGAATGCTTAATCTGTGAATTTTAATTTGAGTAAATTTTGCCAATTTTTCCTTTGTCACTTATGGGCTCTTTCGCATTCAGCTACATGTTAGAAATTAGTACAGTATGTGTGTACCCTCCTATAAATATTGTTTTGGATCTCCCATGTCCTCACTGGCAAGGCGACGCAATAAAGTGTTTGAGCCCGGACAGATAAACACCTCATGCCAATGGACAGCAGGAGATTTTGGAACAGCAGTCTTTAAAGCCCCAGGAGAGATTACATGCTTGAACATAAAAATTCCTGTCACGTTTTCGCCTGAGCTCAGCTGTATCAGTTGACACATCTCAGCCACATGCTGATTGGCATGATGTCTGACGCCAAAATACAGTGGATGGAAGAAGTCCACACATTTCTGTGTGATAGCCACCATTAACCAGGTCACATTTGTGAAATTATTCATCTTCATTGCATTTTTTACTTCACAAAAACTTGGCAATTGAACAGGGTGTGTAGACTTTTTATATCCCTTGTACATCTGTGTGATCCATGTGTGCCAATAGGATTATAAAAAAAATGCTATGCTGTGTTCCAAAGTCATGTGCCATGTGATGCCAAATTCTATTCGGCCATAGCCAGGGACGCCAAACGTGCTCGGAGCACCTGATCTCTGCACCGAGGATGACTGAGCTGCCACTTGGCTGAGGCACACATACTATACAAGGTGTGTCCTTGTGCTGCACAATAACATGCAATAATGTGTCCTGACTCTGGACCGAATCCAGAACGGTTCCATTGTGATGCACCAATAGTCAAGCGGGAGTGGAGGGGATATATTTGCATGCAGAGATGTGAGTGTGTCAGTGCATCAATCGTTTGAGTGCTAGTTTGATTCCTATACTTGCCATTTGTGATCGACTTTACCTTCAAGGTAAGTTGGGACGATAACGCGCTGATTTTAAAATAAATGTGATTTTATTGGATCTCGGAAGCCCTTCGGGTATCTATTTTATTTGCGTTAAATCCAGTTTGGATTTAATGAGGGGAGGTGTAAATGCCTCTCGACAGCTGGTATTCATACGCCGAGCTTCTTGACGATCTCGCCATGCTTCTTTAAGTGAGCAAATGTAACCCGAGACTTGACCTCTCGATGCAACGATGGATGGCAACGGCGTGCTTAACCTGCAACCCGTGAACCGCAAAGCTTGCTCGTACAAACTTTGATGACCACTTCAGCCAACCTTTTATCATTTTAACTGGTTGTGATTGTGTTACGTCAGAGGCACTTATACATCTCTTTTTCAAAATGTGGCTCAAATTAATAAAGGGAGGAAGCTAAAAAGATGATTAAAATGGAGCGTACGCTTAGTAAGTCTAAATTTGTGGAGGCTGGTTGAACACTGCTTTTAGAAATTCGGCCTTGTGTGAAAGCATTGAAGGCCAGGGCAGCTGTTTGCACCCAGAACTTCATATTGTTAGATTTAGCAACTCAGTAGCCTTCTCTGTAAAAATAGGAGGGATTATCTTGCTCTGTAAGGATACTGACATGCATCTAAAAGGAAAAATAATTACAAAACTTTAAAAAAAAAAAAAAAAAATCATTCAAAGTAATAACATAAGCTTTGTTTTTGCCCCAAAGAAACAATAAACAGCAGTTATGTCTGAAGGGTGAGTACTATTTTTTCTTTATCACTCCTTACATCATATTTTGCTTTTAATATAACTTTTATTGCTTGTTTGTTTGCTTGTCACGTGTTCCATGAAAGACCGGTGAGTATGACTAACATACAATTGTCATCAGACATTTTCTTGTGAATGTTGAGAGACATCACTGAGCCACAACACACAAGTACGTGGCCCGTTGTGGCCCCCCCATTAGCACTGAATTGTGGCCCCCTCCAGCATTTAAGTTGCCCATCGCTGTTCTAGGATATTCCATTTGTACCATGACACCACACCACATCGCAGCTTCCGATATTTCAGCGCGGCTCAGCAATTGGGTCGACAGTAGTATGAGTGTAGCATCACGTTAGCATTTCAATCCATGCTCATCTCCCTGCATTCACCCAAGAAGCTATTCCAACAAGATGACTGAAGCGTAGTCATTTACCTCACAGAGAGAACCAAAATATTCAGCCACACGCCGACTGCACTTGAAGGTGAGTCCTGCAGATATGAAAACATGTGAGGATCATTTTCCCCAAAACGTCACGTGACTGCAGAGTCGTCACCAGGATGCCTTCTTACTTTATAGTCCATCTTGCTGAGAAGGGCCACCTCGATGCTTTTGGCTGAAAGCGAAGAGAAAAGAGTGGAGAAGGAAAGATTCCTTGCTGAATGTTTCCCTCAGCCGAAGACCTCAGACCTGTCAGTCCAACAACTCCAGGTACCAAGACGACAACGTCCACATCTTGACTCAACCCGCTGCTAACATCTTCTTCCTTTGCAGGAACTGTGTAAAGAGCTACACAGAAAGATTGATGTCACAGATGAAGCTCGATATGATATCGCGTTGAAGGTGGACAAAAATGAAAGCGAGGTAGAAAAGATTTACACAACTTACAATTTGAAAAGGGGTAATTATATTCATACATAGCATGTGAGGATATATTTGGAAACCTAGGTGCATAATAAAAATTGATTGCGCCACACAAACGGGCCGTTTCCCACACAGCTAATTTAAAAGGAGCAGGTGGGTCCTCATGTACAAATACACACTACTGTGTGACCCACTTTGTGAGACGCTATCATCTCCGGCTAAGCTTAGAAAGGCATGTTGCAAATGAGTTAGCATTTTACAGAATGCATTTTCCGGCCTTCATCACATCGCGTCCCACCATTTAGTACCGTGCACACGAGTGCTATCAGTACGACTGCAGCCGCAACCACCCAGTACAAATGTAAACGCATGACTGTTGAGCTGTTGTGCGGGTCCACATAACTAATGGGAAAGTTTCTTTTTTTTTTATGGGTTTTACTTTTCTTCCAAGTTCAGTAAATGACTGAAGAGTGCATCGGCAACTGTGGCACTCCTTTCCCACATGCGATGGCATGCAAACGACAGAACAGAGTACAGTAGAACATTATAGAGTAACTAAATACAATGTTCCTCTGAAAGTAATTTCCAACCCCAAAAATATTGAGAATTGTTAACAGATGGCACAAGACGGCAAGAAAACCACACATTTTTGTCTAAATCAAGCTCCTAAACTCACATTAAAATAGCTCCTTGGCACCAAGATGACACAAGATTGCAGCAAAGCACGACTGTTGTCTAAATGAAGCGCCTCAACTCACTTCAACATAGTTCCTGGGCACCAAGATTTCTTTTATGGCCATCTTGTGATGAGTCCAAATATTACATAGAGGTGAATACACAGGATAGGTTATACCAGGGGGTCCATCCATCCATAGCTTGGATTTCCATATCAGACCGATAGATATGGTCTACTAAACAAAAAAACAAAAAAAACCTTGGTGTGCAAACGATGAACTGCAGCACAGCAAGGGCAAAACGATGAACAATGAAGTCATGAAATGTGTTGTTGGCCGCAGATTGAGTCACTGAGACAGAAGATTGCCTCGCTGAAGGGGGTCCGGCGTCCCAGCTTAAAGAGGGTGAAGAAAAATACAGAAAACTTGCTGGGCGCATACTCCGACCCCTCCAAACTCATGAAGGCTGATTTCAAGGCCAACCTTAAGACAGTGAAGAAAGAAGATGAAAAAGTAAGGTTCAAAGTTAATTACCTGTATCGAGGAACTACGTGAAAGCATCTAAGTGTTAAATGTTTATGGTCTACAGCGGGAAGAAGTGATTGATTGGCGTAAGAATGTGGAGGCCATGTCCGGCATGGAGGGCAGGAAGAAGCTGTTTAACTCTGGACAGTAGCTAAACTCGTCACCATAATTGGTGAGTAGGTGTGAATGAACAAGCACTCCCAACATAAAAATAAAAGCACTTTGAGCCACTTAAAGTAGTTGTGAAACTCTTCTTTGTTTGTATGTATTGAGTGAGTTATACTAAGTCATGCACAATGGCATTCCTACTTTTTTTTTTTACACGTTCGGGGCATTATTTTGAATGGTGAATGTGCTTTTTACCAGTTTGGACAACTGTGATTAAAACATTACAACAATTTTCCAGCTTGATTTGTTTTGTCTTTGTTGCCAAGTACAGCTTTGTCCAAATTTTAAAATGAATTAAACAGCATCATTACCTATGACAAAATTAATAGGTTAATTCATTGCTATACAAAAAGCAGTGGATAAAACTGAACTATGATAATAATCGGTGGACAGCATCCTGATTTGCATGCTGTTCTGCCTTGAGAGTTCTATTTTAGCTGGCCACTCACGGAGCACACAAGGGAGTCCTTGAATGTGACCCGAGGGTCCTCCTGTCACTTTGAGACGGACGCTGCTCACCTCAACAGCTTCCTTTGCACAAGAAAGGTATGATGAATTTTTCTTTATTGTAAGAGTAGAGTTACCGTGGCTCGTCTGTTTCTAATTGATGAATGGATGCAAGAAAGAAGAATTGATCCGTGTGTGAATGTTTTGAAATGCAAAGATTGGATGGAAGGCCACTTCTTATGTGCTACAATTTTGAAGTTTATCTCTATTCCAATGCAAATAGAAAGTGTTTCATTTCATTAGCCTAACGGCATAACTGCCTTTGTCAAATGTGAACATTTTTGGAAACAAGAAAAAAAGAAACATAGCAAATTCAACATACACGAAGAGTCTAGGTTGCATTTCAACCTTTTCAGATTACCACGACTTGGTCGGCTGAGAAGTGACACAGACAAAAATATATACATATTTTTTCCCAAGTAATTTGGTATTTTTTGTTGCTATTGTGACAGTAAGTTCAAATGACTTCGGCCAAAGTTAAATAAAACTGAACTGTAATTATGATTCTCCAACATGACACACTTTAAGAATCACTGACCCTGACAATTATGCTGTTACGCTAACAATTTGTTCGAATGAGGACACCAAGCATCATTCTGTCAAGTCATGGGTTTTGATTCTGGAGATCAACAAAGTTGTCTCATGTACATGTGTTTTTCAATGCTACAATTGTGATTTATGCAGACTAAAGGCTTCCAACATGTCAGAGGAGTAAGATACAACTCATTTTGTTACATTATTATTTCTGTTTCGAGTAACTGTTCCCAGTCTAATTTATTTATTATTTTTTTCTTTGTGTTTACCCTTCAATGTCCACCAAAGACCGGTAAGTCTTTTTTCTTCAACGATCTGTTAACGGTTTGGCATTGATGCAGCCTTTTATGCGACCTGTTGAATTTTTGTGCAGAGGAAATCCAAGATTTCTGCATCACGCAGACTGACCTTGAAGGTATGTTTCATCCTTACGGTGCAATTGATCAATATTGAGTCTCACGAGGACAATAATTTCAGACCAAGCTGCTAAAGGTAGCCACTGTGATGTTGGAGAAGGAGAAGGAAACAAAGCGGCAGGAGAGAGAAACTACTTTGAGCGAGAGAGTGCCTCCGCTGCAGCTGTCCGGGCTGTCAGTGCAGGACCTTCAGGTACGCGTGTGCGGTGTCTTGCCTGTCCATCATGTTCCGCTCGAACAACGTGCTGTTCTGAATGTTCCACACGCCGCTGCCAAGTACACACGATGTTCACAGTCGGGGGATGCCTGTTACTGCTGCTGCTGTCGTCATCTATGTGTGCTGCGTGGATTGAATTGCATATTTGATCCTGACACCTTTCAACATTGTCCTTGAGTCTTTTTTTTTTTTCTGGGGGAGAGACATTTTCCGACTCGTTTTTGGAACAGCGGTATCTCTTACTATAAAGTATTACACTTGACATGTTGCTATACTGTATTATATTGTGATTTAATTCTTCAATTTTATATTAATACATTATTGGCATCACTTAATACAATGAAGGGTTTATAAAATGGATAGGGATTCATTTGTTAACACTTGTTTTCTTTTCTTCTTTCTACCCATTATCTTGCTGCTGTGGACTGTAAATTTCCCCATTGTGGGACAAATAAATGATATCTTATCTTATCTTGTATTTGATTAAAAAAAAAAAGTTTTGCTGCTATCATGTGGCATCTGGAGGCAAATATAAAGTCGTTTTTTTTTACTGGCAATTCTCACAGATTTTTTTGCGACCTCTCAAGGTTCTCTCCTCTCTCAGGCTCTGTGCAAAGAACTGCACCATAAAATAGACGTGGTCGATGAGGAGCGCTATGACATCAACTCCAAGGTTAACAAGAATAATTTAGAGGTTTGGGAATCCATTTATATTCGGTGGCCATAATTTAAGCATTTGGTTGATCACGTGGATTTAGACTTTTTTTTTTTTCTCCAATGGTTTTCTTCAGCTTGAAAATCTCTCCGCCAAGATCATTGAGCTAAAGGGTAAAATGAAGCGACCCGCTCTTAAACGGGTGAAGATTTCGGCCGACGCCATGTTGGGAGCGCTGCTGGGTGCCAAGGTCAAGGAGTCTGTGGACTTTAAGGCCAACCTTAAGACCGTCAAGAAGGAAGAAGAGAAGGTAAAATCCATTTATTTACATCCCAACGCTGTAAAAAAGTAAAATGAGACCGCCAGTAATTCGGTGATATGATGATTTTTCCTTCTCACGAACAGAAAGAGGAAGTGACGGACTGGCGTAAGAATGTGGAGGCCATGTCTGGTATGGAGGGCAGAATGAAGCTCTTTAATGCCAACCAGTAGGTTCAAAACAAGCGAGTTGCAAAACTAGTAAGCCCGCAGTGACGTCACTGTGTGTAGCCACCATCGCTGAACAGTAACGTGACTTAAATGGTGTCACGTATTCCTTATTGGACTTCATGCCGAGGCGTCCAGAATTTCCTGAGAGTATCGTAATGCCTGGAAACAGCATGATGACATGGACACTTAAAAAAGGTTTGATTAAGTCATTAAACACGACTTTTGTTGTACAAAATAGGGCATGTAGTAATTATTTGACAGGAATCATTCAGTAAAATGTAGATTTTTACAGATAAGGCTCATCAATGCCAACAATATATCCTTGCCCTTTTTTGAGATTTAGTAGAATTTGATCCAAAAAATAAAGTCACTTCAATCAGTATAAAGCACAGGGCTCAGTGGTCCATTTGATTTGTGATGAATACCACGAATATTAGTTTTACTTTATTTCGTTTCCCTTTATGATAAAACCACTTGACAACCACATTTTGCACTTGTCTGACGGTTAAAATGTTATCACTCACAGCATATGCACCTTCAAACTATAATTGAGTTGTATTTAACTTTTTTTTTTACATTCAACTCATTTGGTGTGCATATTTACGAGCGTCACTCTAATATCTTGGATGATATTTCATGTTTCAAATGGAATCCATTGATTCTTTCATGTACTACCCGAAGGAGCCGCGAGACTACTCGTAGTATTTATACCGCAATTTGAGAATCATTTGCACTGGCTGTGATTTGCCTCAATTGGCTGCTTCATACCAAAATGGCCAACTATCAACGTATCAACAGCAAATATCTGAGCGTCTTGGTGTATAATATGTAGATGGTATCAAGCAATCTATCAAGCAATTTATCCATGCTTGTAGTACCAATTTTATCTATCAATGGACTCAATGATACCTATTTGAGGCATCAAAAGTATCTAAGGCAGGGTGTCGATGGCATCTTCTAATGTAACAATGGCATTTGTCAATGGGATCAATAATGATCTGTCAGTCATGTGATGGGTGAGTTCTCTGGCATATTCAAACCCCCAAAAGGCGAGTCATTCGTTAAAAGACGATTAAGAAACAGCCATTCCGAGAGGGATTTGGCGCCACCTAGTGCTTGGGCCTGAACGACCACAAGGCTTTGATATAGCCAGCAATACCGAGGAAACGCCACTAGGTGGTAGCATCGCTCTGCAAATGCCATCCCGTTTCCTCAACCGTTCAGGTGTCTTCAAACGGTGAGTAGTTTCTATTGATTCTAGTTTTATCAAACAGCAATTTATTTGCATTTGAGCCTGGGATGAATCAATTCATTTGATATTATTTGTTTTAACAACAGAGCAATTTGGGAATGAATTATTCATTTCAAATCCACCAGGGGGCGCTCTCTGAGCAACCAGCCCATAAGGAGGCCATAAGAAAGCCTCACAGGTGGACATTTTCACACCTCATACACGACGCCCGGCAAGAATGGCGAGGACAGAATGTCTATTTTGGAGAGCCACTCACAAGGGCACTGGAATCTATATATCCAGCCTCTTTGTGCCCTTCTCATCTTGGAAAAAGCAGCCGGCCTGTCGTTTTGTTGCATATTGTGGAAGGTAAGAAAAAAGAAAAAAACCCTGCAATTTTTATGACATTTGTAGAATGTATGCGAGGACACCAGTCCTGGTCTAATCTTGACCATCATTTTCATCTTACTTCATCAATTGTTCTTTGATTGGATTTTCTAGTTTATGTCTCACATAAGTGATCAGGTATCAACACAAGGATTGACATCATTTGAATATCTTACCATCAAATATTTAAAGTGATACGTTTGACCTCAGGACAAAAGTCATGCCTTGTCTACCAAATGTTCTTGGAATGTTTTTCGATTTTTTCTCAACAGACGGAGACACAAGAAGAGCTGAACTATGTCTGATGCGTGAGTATCACTCAGCTTGATTGTAATATCATGTTTGAGGAAATGTGATTTAAAAAGGAACAAACTTTGTTTGTACTCTCCCCCATGAATCAATGTCACCTTGTGCTTACGTGCTCAGGACTTCGGTAAGTCCAAAAGTAATTCATACCATCAAAAGTAATTCATATGCATCAACCCATACTCAAAATCATTTAACTTAAAAAGTGATCATGAGTCTTCATTTTTCCATTATTTTCATTCCAGAGACCAAAAATATCTGCATCGCGCAGACTGTTTTTGAAGGTATGACGACTAAGGGACTCAAGTTATGCTCATTTGCTGGCTGGCGTGTGATTTATATCCAAAATGCTGTGCAATCAGACCAAAATGATCAAGAAGGCCATGGTGATGCTGGAGAATGACAAGCAAGTGAGACAAGATGAACGGGAAAGAATTCTGACCGAGAGAGTTCCAGAACTCCAGATGTCAAGCTTGTCTACACAGGAGCTGCAAGTATGTTTGTCGTCCACATGAAAAACAATGATCTAACCATAGGGCGGCCTGGTGATCCAGCGGTTAGCGAGTTAGTGCAAATGTCGTGGGTTCAATCCCGGCTCCGGCATCCTTGTGTGGAGTTTGCGTGTTCTCCTCGGGCCTGCGTGGGTTTTCTCCGGGTACTACGTTTTTTTCCCACATTCCAAAAAGATGCATGGCAGGCTGATTGAACACTCCAAATTGTCCTGAGGTGTGAGTGTGAGCACGGATGGTTGTTCTTCTCTGTGTGCCCTGCGATTGGCTGGCAACCGGTTCAGGGTGTCCCCCGCCTACTGCTTGAAGACGGCTGGGATAGGCTCCAGCACCCCCCGCGACCCTTGTGAGGATAAAGCGGATCGAAAAATGGATGGATGGATCTAACCGTGCTGTATGCATATTACTTTAACCCTTTCATGCACTAATAATGATAACCGGTAACCTGATAAGCTGTCCAATGCAGTAACATTGATGTCTACAGACTCTTTGCAAAGAGCTTCACCAGAAGATTGACGCTGTCGATGAGGATCGTTATGACATTGCTTTAAAGGTGGCCAAAAACGATATTGAGGTATGGGTTGTAGTTTTCTTGTGAATGGTATATCTATGGTATGAATCAATCTCCCTATCTGTGGTATCACTGCTATTTATCGATGGTGTACTAAACAGTGGACTATTATATTCGCTGATTTTACCCCCTAACATTTTTGCAATCAAGTATTTTTTTGGAGGAAGGAGAACAAACCCCATTTTGCAAGAATTTTTGCGTCGAACTTTTTTTTTTAATCCCAAAATATTTATAATAGATGTCAATGAATGTGGATTTTCGCCAATCATATCAAACAAAAAAATCCATACATTATGTGGTATCCATTGTATCCATCAATGGTATCAATTGTATCCATGGATTTTATAATTGGTGCCTTTCAGTGGTATCTAGAGTATTGTATCTATGGTATCCATGCACCAATATCAATGGCACACTGCAGATCGTAACCACTGTATGTGTACCACATCATATCGATCAATCTAACAATTTAAATGTGGTATCAGTGGTATCTATCTAGGGATTAATGGTATCTATCTATAGCATTGAGGTATTTTACAGTATCTGACGACTAATTAGTCTAAATGCTTTGACAGCTGTTGGGTTGTGTGTGGGGTTCTCTTAACGGTTGCAATTTTCAAACGACTGTCGTAATTTTTTTTTCTCTGAGATTATACCACTCTTTGGTCCAATTTACATGACTTGGCGGGACAAAAGACCACACAGCTGCGTTCTTGAATCAATAACGTGTGCGTATCAGATTATTTTTGAAAAATGATTCTGAATAGTAAGCCAGTGTCTTTTCTTTTGGGGGGGGGTATGGATGAAAAAAAAAAGTTGCGGGACCTGTCTCAGAAGATCTACGAGTTGAAGGGCAAGATGAAGAGGCCGAACCTGAAGAGGGTGAGGGTGTCTGCAGACGCTATGTTGGGAGCGCTGCTGGGCTCCAAAGTCAAAGAGTCTGTGGACTTCAAGGCCAACCTCAAGACTGTGAAGAAAGAGGAGGAGAAGGTGAGAGTTTGTCTGCAAATGTCTCTGCCATTTTGCTTTTACACACATAGTGATTTTTGACATCAAAACCAAAATATGAGAAATCTTAACACACGAGGAGGGGGAAAAAAAAAGAATGATTTGCGAGACATGTTACAAACGCTCAATCAGGTGTGGGCAGAGTAGCCAAAAATTGTACTCAATTAAAACTAAAAAGAAGTCCTCCAATAATTATTTGAGCAAGAGTATGTAGCGAGTGAATAAACTATTCAAGTACAAACTAGGGAGTAATTTCTGATTTTTTTTCTTTAAATCAGAGAACAAACATCAAAGACAAAATTAAAAAAAAACATAACATTAAAATTCAGATATTGCCCAACAATATCATTTTAAACTCAAACCATACTTTTAAACTGTAAAAAGTACAATCGGTTCACCGGGCCGAGGTTACAGTGAAACTATGATGTGTTTTCTCTCGAAGTGGAGTTGTTGTAGGCTGAAATGCCGACATTTTTCAGCACAGTGCATGACATAGCGGTTTGCGCTGTGGTTCACTGTAATGTCATAAAAGTACAATTTCTTCAAAAATACCCAAGTAAAAGTAAAAAGTATTTTGTGTTAAAATTATTCTGACTTGTATGATTCACCCCCTCAAAATTTTGTACGTCAGCAAATGTAACAGTAAACGTAGGGCATTCGTACCCATCTCTGCGCTCAATACAACCAGTTGCTCTTCTATTTATGCCGGACAACAGCGCTACCTTCATGTGGAGGTGGCTTCCTAAATGGCTATCGTTATGCAACACATTACTATCACAGAGTCGGTTGCTTGGCTGAACTCTATGTTGACCACTTAAACAAAGATTTAGGATCAGAAATATCGAACAGGTGTCACAATAATGATTGTTGACCCCGACAGTTTTCCAATCGGGAGATTTTGAGACACCCAAAACCGCTCCGAATATTCCTTCGAGGATTCCAACAGTCAGACATTTGCTGACTTTTATCGGAAGAAGGGGAAAATGCTCAAATTCATTGCAGCACACAATTCTGAATGTTTGAATAAAAAAAAAAAATAATAATGTTTACCTTACAGAAAGAGGAAGTGACAGACTGGCGCAAGAATGTGGACGCCATGTCAGGAATGGAGGGCAGAATGAAGCTGTTCAATGCTGGCCAGTAGACGACAGGCTTGTCGTCTTTGCGAAGACATTTGCCACTTGAATGACTGTTGCTCACTTTTCGAAGAACATTTTTAGTAATGTTGCTTATCTGTGGAGGGAAATCGTAAAAACTGCATCTGTGTGATCATTCTCAGTAGGAAGAATAGCATAACCATGTAAGGGTAACATTTGAATCTTAAGTTTTCCTATCAACAGTAAGCAATTGCAGTGAGTACAGAACATCATGTTATGTATAAACATGTGCTTGATGCAAAATCTGAGTCGAGTCCGGATGATGCATTCATAAAAAGGTGAATATTTGTGTCTTGCTTGTCTTTGTGTTTAACCCTTATGCAGTAATACAGATTGTTACTTTTAAAGTATTTGTCCCAAATTTGGTTGCACTTTGAGGTGTGACAACTTTTTTCACTTTTGAATTTTTTTTCACTTTCAACTTTCAAAATGTTCAGTGGCATCCTGCCAAGACATTCAAATATATTTTTTTTTATTTATTTATATTTGGCGCCCTCTATGGGCCACAGCAGCAGGAGTGTGTCAATCACACACTAACTATGCTGCATATGTCAATAAAAAAAAACAACCAGTCCAAATCTTGCATATGACATAAATAGAGCCTTGAATATGTCACCAAACCGCAGAAACAGAATTTTTCTTCATGCCTGCTTTTTTTCTGCAATGGCCATTTCAAAATAATGCAACATAAAACGTATTTGTCCAACATTGGGTTGCGCTTTGAGAAAAAAGAGACCAATTTGGGACAGATACTGCTTTGTGTTTAAGCTGCGTTTTCAAGTGGTACGTGTGGTTAAATCAAGTGGATGTTTTAAATAGCTGTACAGAGAAGATTTTTTAAAAACTGCCCAACAGCCCAAGCCATCTTCAAAGGAACAGATTGTGAAAGGTATTTTCTCACCGGTATTAAAAAATATTAGGTTGGGCCGTCTTTGGGTAATTTTGCAAAACAGATGCGCAAACCTGCTCGCCAACGACATTACGCCATACACGTGACTGTCAAGAGTACGTCTGTATTGTTAACCCTAGCAACAGAAAAATGAATCATTAAACTAATCTATGAATGATCATTTTAAATATGTGTGAATGTCTACGACTTCACTTTTTTAAACCAACTTACCTGCTGAAATATAAATTACTGTCCGTCTTGTTTCAATCTTTTTTTTTTCGACTGACCCTTCACACATTCAAATTGCGGCAGTGGAGAAGAAGACTCAAATCATTCTTTAAATATTTACCCTGTTTAATTTCCAATTGCTGTGCCATAGTCAAATGACTTTGGAAAGGTTTGATTACGATGAGAATGTGTGACGAATAAAGCGTAGTTGCTGAAACAGAACACCCCCCCCCCACCTATTTGTTCATTATTAATTCCTGCCATTGTGTTTTAATTTGATAATGTCAACGTTTCAAACTATTGTAACAATTAACAACAAAAACTGGCAACATAAACTTCGAAAACCAAGAAGTTACCAAAACGAACCCTTAACACGAGCTTTACTAACCATTTGGAAAGCAAATCTTTTGGTTGTTGGCGCCATGACACAACACCTCCCCTTTCCTCGTCGACTCTCTCTGTGGCGAATTAATATGGGCGTAGTCCTCCTCCAAATTTGGGCATGACGCTTCCGATGCTCTGTGCTGCGCAATTCGGATTGGACCCGTGATCTGTCAATCACCATCATCATTCAGACGTTTTCATGGCCGGGCTAAATACTGTCAACATCGACGCATCTACATTCCCACCGCTCTTAAAAGCCACATAAGGTAAGTCGTCTTGCTCTCAATACTGTTTTATGCATGTTGTTTGTTTTAAAGCTCCCGGCTACCTGATTGTTATGCTGCTAACGTGCGTGGGGTGCTTTTTGCATCGGGGTGCAAGCAGCCATGTTTGTTGTCGTAAATAAAGCCTTAGGAAACAAAACCTCAAAGATCGTGGAGATAACGCCAAATAACTTCTTCGATGCATGTACTAACGTGACGACAGGGGAAGCTTGCTTCATTTCCTCATATAGAAATGCTAATAATAGTACAGTAGGGGTTCACTTCCAGCCTCCCGAGATCAACTTTAACCTTACGCATACATCAAAATTGAATTTGAGTTGCAAAATATCGGGAATTTTTCAAAAGCTTCCCATCAGATCTAAGAGGAGTTTATAATTGCATTGCAATGACTAGGAACTATTGGGAATACTGTACTGTATTTAGAAATTAGCAACCTTGCTGGTTGGTCTGTGTCACTAGGCCTTGCTTATAAATGAACCAATATGAAAACGAATTTGTTTGCATGGAGACAGTACTTTTCACCCAATTTCTAGATCTTCATACGTTCATTCCGTTTTAAAATGCAATGCAATCTGTAGTTTGGTGCCTTCATGTACGATAGGCAGGCACGTTGGAAACACATTTTTTTTTCTTAAAATGTTGAGGTTGTTTTGTCAAACCATTGAATATAAAAATGTTCCTAATGTACTTGTTTTGCTTCGCATTTAAGAGGAAATACATTGATTGCTACTTATATCAATTATGCTATAATTTTTTACAAGTTCAGCCCTGAACTACAGTGGGTTTGACACCCATCATTTGCTGTACTACTCTAATTTCAAGTGTATCATAATTAACTTCCTCATTTGAACTTTATGTGTATGTTCAGGTTTGTGGTGTATGAGATGTCCATGTACAAACTCTTTCTGCTGAGACATGGGGAGGGGGCGTGGAACCGGGAGAACCGTTTCTGCAGCTGGGTGGACCAGAAGCTGAGTGAGGACGGCGTGAAGGAGGCCCGGGATTGTGGCCGGCTCCTGAAAGAGTTGGGCTACAACTTCGACCTGGTGTTCACTTCCATCCTCAGCCGCTCCATCCAGACGGCCTGGCTGGTCCTGGAGGCTATGGGGCAGGAGTGGGTCCCCGTGGTGAAGTCGTGGCGGCTCAACGAACGCCACTACGGAGCCCTGATCGGCTTGAACCGGGCGGAAATGGCCGCCCGGCACGGGGAGGAGAAGGTGAAGCTGTGGCGGAGGAGCTATGACATCACACCGCCTCCAATAGACGAATCTCACCCGTACTTCAGTGAAATCTACACCGATCGCAGATACAGCACGTGTGACGTGGAGAAGGAGAAGCTCCCCCGGGCTGAGAGCCTGAAGGAGGTCTTGGACAGGCTGCTGCCATATTGGGAAAGCACTGTGGTACCGGAGATATGCCAAGGCAGGACGGTGCTCATTGCGGCTCATGGAAACAGCTGCAGGGCCCTGCTCAAACACCTGGAAGGTATGCTCCACTTTTGACACACTCAGAGCTTGATTTACAAAAGATTTGCATGCACAAATAAAAACATGCTAATCCACAAAGATTAAAAGAAGAGTTTCACAAGTGACTTGGTAAACTGTAGTCATAATTGGTATTCTATACCTGTGAATATTGCTATATTGTCTGTCTGCATGTGTTGCTCCAACGTTTGTGTTCAAATACGTGTTGCATAAAGAGTCACAACACTGCAACACCAATGCTATTAGTTGGCCCACCCTGCCTCACCGTTGTATGGTATTCCACAGAGTTCGATTTTGGGGCCCATGCTCTTTTCATTGTAGTAATAATAAGAATAATGCATCAGATTTGTATACCGTTTCCTGGACAACCGGACACTGAAAGAGCTCACAATGGATATTTGCTGCCCACGGGTTCCATCTGAAGCAAACTTTCCTTCCATTGCTATGAGATTCTCAATTAGATCTCTGTCCTGCTGAGCAAAAAGGACGCTAAAGGGAGGCCAAAATTGGAGTTACGTGCTCCCTCGTACGAGCACCAGTTAAGAGGTGAGCAGTAGCACCAACTGGAGGACCTGATGACTCCAAAATCAAGTGTGTCACAGCAATCTAGCTGAGTGACACTTCCAAGTCCATCACTTCAAACTTCATTTTGCGCTGACGGTGCTCTTCCAGAATGTTTCATGGTGAAAACCATCAGCGCTACCAAAAGCGCAAAACCTTCTTTTAAATATAATGGCCTTCACCACATTTAGACCAATGCCCACAGTGTGCAAGGTCTGTTGGAAGTAGCGAATAGGTGATTTTTAGTTCATTCAGCCCCTCCCACATGATTGCGCTTGTCAAGTGTCGTACTGTGCCAGAAATGGATGCTTGACCCTGCTCAAAAAGGCCACTTAGTTTCGGTTACGTTGAGCATCCACGTTGACCTTTGAGAATACTGTACTCGTAGTCCACTCACTCACTTTATATTTGTTGTTGGGTTCTCAGTTTACAAAATACTGCGTGACCTTGACTTTATGTGTATATTGAATCATTTTTTTTCCCCCCATTGAAATGCTATTAATCTCTTCCAACCCCCAACCAAAAAAAAAATCCCTAAAAATAGCACCATAAAAATAGAATGAGAGTGTGAAGAAATAAATTGTGTTTTTTAATAATTGCAGTTATTACTGTACCTACTGTAGTATTCTTGTGTTGGATGTGTGCCTTTAAGGGGCGTGGCCTGGTTGTGTACCATCAGAAGCTGAAGTCAAGTTGGCAGATTAGTCTTGCATTTGAGCGTTTGGACCTGGGTTGTGGCCGATAGCACCTCCTGGCGAGTCTTCTCATTTTGTATTTGACTTTTTAATAAACAGCTGAACGTGTGTCAGCGACTGCCACACGCGGCTGCATCACAGTACCTCCATTTTTTATTTTCTCACGTCACTCGAGGGGAGACGACTGTCCGAGGTCATGCGGCACTCCACCAAGCCCACCCTTTTAGACATATAATCTCATACACAGCGACTACAGTATGTACAGTGTTTTCTCTATATTTCATGCTTGCCATTTTTTGGTGTGTTCGGATACATTTAGTGTAAAACGACATAAATAATGTTTAATTTTAATATGGTCTCTCGATATTGCATATTTTCACCTATAACGGTTGAATCAGGAATGTATACACCATTGTAAAAAAATAAATAAATAAATAAATAAAAAACCCAAATAGCTGCTATACTCTCACTTGCTAATCAAAACGGAGTATTGCGTATATCACTGAATATTAGACGTGAAACATTCCAAAAGTCTAATTTGGCTCGCTCAACTGTAACGCTCCCGCTCCTATGCGCTTCCGACAGGGATTTCAGACGAGGACATCGCCAGCGTGACTTTGCCGACCGGGATTCCAGTGTTGCTGGAGCTGGATGCGCAGCTGAAGCCTGTGAAAGGCCGCCAGCTCCTGGGAGACCAGCAAAAAATCCAGGCGGCCATTAAGAAGGTGGAGGATCAGGGAAAAGCCAAAGCCTCAACTTGAA